CTGTTGATGCACTGTGCAAACTGTACGCTGCGACATTTAACTTAGACTCAGATTCATATACTGTAACTCGTCACCCAGATACCATTTCGCATCAGCAGACTGGAGTCTGTCACAGTTGTCATGATGTTTCATCTAGAAAGGCTTTGAAATATGGCTTTCCAGTAGTACCAACACTGGCAACGCGTCCCACTCCTGTCCCATTACCACAGACGTATGTGGAAATGATCTCTACGGTGTTTAGAACTAAAACTAGGTTTGTATAAGTGAGAAGCTAAACCATAAGATGAAGAAACAAGAAGTACGTTATCACATTTAAAGTCTCTGGATTTCACGCTGTCTTTCATAGGGATTTTTGTTCACACAGCGCAGACAGACATGCTTTAAAAAGTAGATTTTCTGTCTGTGCTCTGGAGAAATGTGTGTAGACTGTCAATAAAAAAAAAGTTTTTGTCTGTTTCGAGACGCAGTGCTTTTTGGGTTGAGAACACCCCATTAGAAGTGTATTCTTAAAAATGTCAGGCATCCTTATGTGAAAGCTGGAAGCAGAGAAAAATCAACTTACTGCATGAAACATTTATTTATTTACATTAAAAATCCACCAGATGAAGCAGATAAAAAAAAGACACTGTCTTATCTAAATATATTTCTGGGGACCCTGAAATGAAACTCATGCACAATATTGGTGACACCCACTCATAAAGTTACTCAAAATAAAACTTTTCTTAGAATAAATAATGCATAATGAAGTGGAGTGACTCCGGATATTAAGTATAATGAACACAAAGACAAGAAGTTGGCACAGAGAGTCCAGATAACCAACTGAAATCTGTCAGTATTTAGAAAACAATCCTGCTTCCTGTCAGTGCAAATTGACATCAGTTGCTTTAGTCTTAATTGATTGCCCAATAGAGGCCTCCTATTACAAAGATATCACACTAAAACATACAATGGGGATCCATAAAACTAATGAATGACCATTAGAAATCCATGAAAACTGGCAGACTAAAAAAGGATGAATGACTCAGTTTTCCTCTGATTTATTTTTACCCTCTTCTGTAAACACATTGCCTGCTGGATAATACATAGTATTCACTGTCATTCAGTAGTAAACAAACAGAAGTGGAAATAATCTTCAGAATATGGGAAACATACTGACCAAAACACTTCTCTCTTCTCCCTTCTGTATTACCCAAGAATGAGTAAAACTAAATAAGTAACCTTTAATTTAATGCCTAATTAGCTAAGGAACAGGTCTGTCTTACACTCTGTTGGAGATTTTGAAAGATACGTCTCCCCAGATGAATTGCATGTTTGCAGCTCAGTTTAATTCAGGCATGAAAAAGACCATACACAAACACAAATTGTTAACTCACAATTTGTTAGCTGCAACAAAATGGAAATCTGCGTTGTCCTCTTGGAAATGTTGTCAAAGCAAAAAGACCTTATACCATTTGTTGTTACCAGTTTCTTTGTAACAGAGTCTGTCCAGGATTCCAGTGAAGGCTGGCCCCTGGAACGACTCATTAGATTTAATTAACAGTGAGTGAAGAAGCCCCTGAAGCTGCAATGTTGTTGTTTTTTTTTTCTTTCTTTTAGAAATACTGTCACCAGAGATTCAACATGGGAACCCCAGGGGAGATGTTCTTGTAGTTGTTGCTTTGTTTGATCTACATTAGGCCCCTGGCAAGCGTTAAATTTAAGTTTTGTTGCAAGCATTTGAAAACACTGCACTAGCGTTTCCGCTGTGGAGGCTTAGCCGAGGACACTTCTATGGTTTTTCATACATAAGACTTTGCTGTGACTTTGCTGAGGACACTAGTGTGGATGTTCTCAGTCTGACTGTTGACACATGTCAGCTCCAGGACATGGGACTGTCTGACAGACCAGACAAACACTGGGTGCCACCATCAGCCTCAGGATTACATAAATGTAATGAAACCAAGCAACACATCCACCCTCACTTCAACTCGCCACCCACTTCAGATTCGTGTATGAGGCAAGATTTTTATGTTAATAACAATAATATTTTTGAGGTCTATCTCTGTCTTTCTTTCTAGGGACATGCTAGATTAGGGAGTGTAGGCAATCTTTTGAAAAATATATGCTTTCAGGAAGGGTTTGCTCTTTGAATACAAACGAAAGCTGATATTTAAAGATACTAAACCTAACTGTACTGACTGTGCTGACCTCTAATACAGTTACACTGTTGCCGTTTTTTGAAGTGATAGTAAAATCATGTCTAGTAGCAGAGCTGTGAAACACTGACAGCTGTCTCTCTCTAACTCACATGCAGTCCCTAATATGAATAATCAAAATAGCAAAAAAATATGCTAAACGCTACTGCATAATGTAATTAATGACTGATTTGACATAAAAAATAACAGCAAAACAGATTGTTTTAGTCTTATCCACAGTCACAGCTGGTATTTGCGTTTGATATCGGAGAAAAGAAATCTATTGCTTGTGATGAGAAAAGGAAAAACGCCATTGAACTGCTGTTGATCTGTCTTGCAAAACAACAAATGAGATTTGCAGTAATTCATTTTAGTTGGACTCCATCTGTTGAAATAACTCTTTCCACTAACCTTGATGATTTTACCCTAATTGTGTCTTTTAATTTGTGCAGACACATTCTTATGACTCATGCCTATTTATGAGAAACTGTTAGTTTGTTCTGTTTTAAACCTTTAAGAATTTTATTGTCTTAAACCACTAAAAACATTCTTTTAAAGCTTCCTAGGGTTTTCAGATAGAAAACAGATTTGAACATTCAAGTCAGCATCAGTTTCTTAAAACTGTCCATTTTCTTTTTCTCTCACTTAGTAATATTCAGTCTGAAATAAATTACTTTGATCTGCAATGTGGACCTGCATTAAACTAGACACATTTTGAATCAATAAAACTGATCAAAGAATAAAAACTTGTATTGCAGGTCCTGATGTTCATCATTTTTGGCTACTTATAGATTATACATTTTTCCTTTCCTGGATCTTCCTATGATCTGTGGTGAGTGTGCAAATATGTCAGGATATCTAATTGTGGATTAATCATCTTGGCATGACATAAAATATCAGATATTGCTTTTAATTGCTTAACGTCTGCTGGTGAGGATCAGCAGAAGTTGATTTAACTCCAATCTTCCAGAATTGGAGTTACGTTCTGTTTGATTTAAAAGGGATCCCATTAAAATTGAAGCTGAGCCTGGAGAATAATCAGCATAAGCCTTTCTTCCCACATGTTTCCTTAAAAAGAAATGTCTCACCTGAATTTAAACCAGAAATGTTATCAAGGCTAACAGACTCTTTTCAAGTGTAAACATCATGATTTACCGTTACACAAACTGCAACACTAAATCCAGAAGCATAACAAATCATTCCTTCAAAGAAGGAGAGTTGGAAGTCAAATGTACTGTACATGCTGCTGTCGAAAGGACACCGCCTGCTGAGCAAAAAAAAAAAAAAAAAAAAACCATTTGAACTTCAAATAATCAGCAGAAACATACAGGGGAGATCAAACATTTGAATCAAAGTAGCAGCACTTCAAAAATTGACTGCAGGGACAAATGAATTATGGGAAAGCACAGTCTTCTAAAGGAATATCCCAAGGTTGTTCGAAATTTTCCTTTTTATTTAATTTAATACTTATCAACAAAATATGATGCATTACTTCCATCTAAGATCTCAGTGGGGAATATTTGCTGTGTGTTATACAGTGCTCTGAAGTTCATACTTATTGAACTTTTTCATGTTTTATCCCATTAAAACCACAAAACTCATTGTGTTTTTAATAGGATTTTACGTGGTAGACAATACACTAAATGTTTAGGTTTAGAGGAAGGGAAACGATCTGTGGATTTTACAACTCAGCTCCCCTCCAGTCATTCATTTTAAAAAACACATTTCATTGCTATTACAACTGTGATTTACAATTACAATTAATGAACAGATGTGAAGAGACATGTAACATTTACATCAGATTTGCTACCCTTTTCCTGCTGAAGAAAAGCAAACAACGTGTTTTGATCTGTATTTAGCTCCCAGATTCCTCCTCTTTGCCAAAGCAAGTATCCCACTGCATGATGCTGCCACCTCCATGTTTCATCGTCCACACAAGGCACAGTATTTTGCATGTAGGCCTTTTAGGACTTTTGTTTTAGTGTCAGCTAACCAAATTTAATTAATCTGATGTCTCTCCGATAGGCTTGTGGCAAATGTTTTATTTTTTTCTGCCAGTCTTCTACAAAGGCGTTTAAAAAAAATAAATAAATAAAAAAACATGTGATATAGTTCATCTGACAACAGACTGTACTTACAAGCGCCAACATTTTCCTTCCACATCGCAATAGTATTAAAAATACACTGAAATGTCAGAGAAGTTTTACCAATGCAAACCAGGCTGCAAAGACTAGGGTGGAGAAAACAGTGTAGAAGGTAGTTTATTTCTTGTTTCCTCAGTGAGGAAGACAAACTGGTAGATAGTGGAATGTGTCATTTAAAAAGAAAAAGGAAAAGGTGGAAATAACACTGAAGTTGAGTAGTGAGGAAGATGGCAGAGCAGGACACTGAGAAAGTGAAACCAGGCATGATGGGCAATGAGCTCAGATATAGGTTTCCTGGCAATTACTTCTCCAATTTAATATAAGGCCTAAATCTACTCTATGGCAACCACTTGAGTTCAGTGCTGTATGCTCCTGTGATGAGAGATTGCCTGCTTAACTTTTTTTTTTTTCTACAATCCAAGGCTAACCAGAGGTGGTGCATTTCTTAAAGATGACTGGACAGCAAAGTTAATCCTCAGAAGGGGTGAGAAGCTTAATATTATTTGCCATATCTTGCCAACCAAGGATATGAGTCTGTCTGGGTCGGGTGTCTTGACCAATTGCAGCCCAAGGCTGGAGGATCAAATTCACAGGCGAGAGCAGCAGTAAAGAAATAATGCACTGGGATAGATTGATTCTATATTCACCTATAACAAACTGGACTCCAAAATTATTCCATGAATTAAGAGAAGGCTCCCTTTCCAAACGACAATGCAGCATGTTTATCTTTTTTTTCCATGCTCTTTGATCCTGACTTTGCTCATTTCTCTAATTAAGAGCCCAATTGTACAAAACTACTAGAATGTAAACACAAGTGTTAAATTGAAAATGCCAGCTCCAGTTATAAGCGCATTCTGCAACTTGTGAAATGTTAAGCAGAAAAAAAAACAAGTCATACTGCCTTTTAGATGCATAATTAGTATAATACCAAAAAAAAAAAAGCATATTGTATGTTTTGTTTGCTTTTACTGCCCTCTAGTGTTATTTAAGTTAATTTGTGACGTTAATGTCATAGAGTCTGTGAACATGTTTAGTCACTGCTAGAAAACACAAAATGCTCTGGTATTAGCCAGCATTTCTAACAGTGTTTAGAAATAATTGTGGTAATTACTAACTGACCTAAAACAGAAAATATTCAGCCTCGCTTAATAATTACAGGTAGTTCGGTGTTTCTTATGTCCAGTGTAAGTCAGTTTATTTATTTTTTTCTCCTACTGCAATTATTACATTTCACAGTTTAGACACAAGTTGAGACTTTTTCTCATCTTCCAGGCTACATATGAGGATGCAATCTCTGCACTGAAATCTGTACAATGGTGGAAAGTAATTGTCTCGGATCCATATTGAAATATTTACAAAACAGAGTTCCATCAATCTTCTTCCACAATACAAGACTGACAGATTTTTACTGATGAACTGAGGCAGGTTTTATGTCACTCATCCTGATGATACTTTTTGTAAACCAATCCCTGGTTTCACTCAACAAAGGTTTCCTGAAAATCCTTCAGCATCCAAGAGTTTAGTATGGTGAAGCAAAAATGACTTGTGAAGACCAAATTATACATCTGGACACATTCTTGGTTTTATATTGAACATCTTTCATTAACCAAAAGGTTATTTATAGACATGTACAGCTTAGGTCCACATACTCATGATGAAAAACCTGGTAATGCATACCATTTTGGGACGTATTGCCTCAAATGGGCTTAAGTTGCTTTGAAACTTAAATGATAGCAAATATTTTTAAGCCTAATTAAAGTCATACCAGCTGAGCTTTTGCAATTTTGCAGTGTGAAGCAAAAGACATGGAAATGTCTGGGCTGAATTATCAAATCCACCGGTAACAGGACATCCACTAACCTACTTTCGCTGACCTAGTTCAGACAGCTGTGGGACTCTGTCTTTAACAAAGCAATTCCCCACCAATCAATGTTTTACACACATTTTCTGCATCATTTGGCACGGTGTGATCTAAATGTCCAGAGACTTAATTTCTGTCAAAGCAAGTTAAAACAAGACCTCAAACAAAGTCTAACAGGCAGAGATAAAACTCTCAACATGCATTCATTACTTGGTGTCAGTTTCTGTGTATTTTTTTTTTTTCAGACAGAGATTTATTCAGTTTAAACAATTTGGATTCAGGCATCTTCTAGTACTATTCAAAGTAATATTCTTTTCCTGTGTGTGTTTCCTGAATACCTCTGATTTAAACCCTGGACAGGTTGCCAGTTCATTACTAGGTGACATAGAGACAAACAAGACAAACAGCCTTATGTACACAATTTAGAACCATATGTCAAAAAGAGGTAGTGTCCTGAATCAAATGATTGGTTAATTATGAGGCTGGAGAATGTCTAGACTTGTTTACCTGTCCTGCACGCATGTATCCACAAAAATAAGACAGCAAAACTTTCACCTCTTGTCATTGTCGAAGTTACTTCCCACAACACATAAACAAAAGATTGACTAAAGATCCAACACAGCAAAGCCTGCCTGGTGTTATTTTACCCCATTCCTTCTTCAAAGACTTTCTTAAGCGTGTAGCCACATTGAATCATTTTCTTGCATTTTTCATTTCACAATTCTCCTCACACTCTCGAATGTTAGGTCTGAAACCAGGCCATTCAAGTGTTTGTATTTTCTTCTTTCATGTAATGTGTGCAGAATATTTTTTTTTCTTTGTTTACATGCTGAACAATACTTGGACGTCAGTTTTGTTCTGAGTGTTTTCTGTGTATTTTTCTTTTAACACTGCCTCCCAGTGGGGTGACTGATCTTTTTACAAGGGCCCTGATGAAAATCGCTATGAAAAGAATGGATTTCTTGCTGATAGCAGCGTGAATGGTCAGAAGAAACACTGTCCATTTCATCCCAAAAACATATAGAAAACCAGATCACAGCCAGAGGACCCATCACATTTTCACCGTGGTGGTGCATACAAGCAGTCACTGAATACAGAAATGCTCAGCATTGCTTTTCGACAAAGCTTTCAGTAGTAAAGTATTGTACAATTTATGACAGTAATCCCATACAGCGGCAACTAACAGAGAATATTTCCCAATGTAATTCTGTGCCTTTTTGGCTTAGCTAATGATGCTTGAATGTATCTGGCAGCTTCTGCTAATTCAAATTATGTGCAAAATGAAGAAGTATGAAGTCTAATCTGGTGCAAAACCAGGAATGCAACATTGACTGCTAAACTGAAAACTCCTTCTTCAAATAGCAGTTAGAATCATTTACTTGAAAACATCCAAGAGCTGTGAAGCTACATACAATAAAATCTACAGAGTTGAGCTGTTTAGCTAAATCTGAGGTACCACACACAGAAGCATTCTAGCTAGACTAGAAAGAGTAGAAGCAGATAGTTAATTTTAAAGCAATTCCTCAATGCTTCCCATTTCCCACTAGATGGCAGCCTACACCCAGATTAGACTGCCATTCTGCTCTCACCCAACCAAACTGTAGCAGCCTTGCTGCCTGAGGACATCATTACACACTCAATAAAGCAATAGTCAGTCATTTTCTCTGCTAAATTGATCCCCCTGCTCCCCTACAATATGTACTGTGATATTTTTTTTTTTTTCTGCAGCAGAAACAGCCTGACGCTTCAGAGTACAATTATCTTGTTGCCGTGTTCTTGCGTGACCATCCATCTGTTGACAGCATGCAGTACACTCGTTGGTCAGCGGCCGAGGTCAGCAGTGCCATCATCCCGGCACATCGGCGCGGTTGTAATGACACGGTCCTGGTTTGTACTAAAGCTGGTGAAGCATGTTTCTGCAGGGCATGAACACGACACACACACACACACAGCTGCATCTCAGTTTTAAAAGAGATATGGAAATCGACAAAACTGCTATCAAACGCAGTGGGGGCCTGATAAGATTATGACTATGTGCAAGTTGAGAACACAGAGTCTCCTGCTCTCACTGACACACATGGTTTTATATGCCAAACACACACACACACACACACACAAAAACTGAGAAAAGAACATACACTCTAAATCTATTTTGGCAAACAAGCTCATTAATGTCACATTCTGCCTTAAAATCATGTAGATAAAGACCATCACTTACAATCAAATACAAAATAAATGCTCAAAATTGTTCAGATGCCCAATTTGAAACTATGCAGTCTGGATATTTTTATTTTTTACCATTTATTGGTCAGATGAGACTAAAACTGAACTTTTTGGCCTTCCTGCAAAAATTCTCTATGTGACATGATCTCATCGTCTCTACTGTGGTGAGAGCATCATACTGTGGAGATGCTTATTTAAAGCAGGAAACTGGAAGCTGGGTCACAGTTGATTGTAAGATTGATGGAGTGCTGCGAAAAAATCTAAGATTGAGGTCAGAGGTTTTCCTTCCAGCGGCACAACAACCCTAAAAGTACAATGACCTCTACAAAGGAATTGTGACAAAATAGGAGAAACTCCAACGGGGGTGTTTTTTTAAATTTATTTTATTTTATTTTTATTTTTTTGCAAGGCCCTAAACTGTGTAAAGTCATAACCAGAAGCAGGCCTTTTCAATTAAACGTGCCAACTTTAGCTGAGGCAACCCTTGCATGCATTTATTTTCACAACTTAGCACATCTTATCACAGTTTAGAGTTGCTGCAAAACTTTCTCTCTCTGGCCACTCCTTGGGCTGTCAGCAGGGTAAGGCGGAGCTTAGACAGCTGCACATGTTTCAAGCATGCTCAGCAAGGTTCCCTCCCTCTATGACTCCTGTACTGGCTCTGGTAATCTGAAGGAGAAAGAAGGAGGGACCAGTTTCTGCAAACAGTGATGCTTTTTACCAATCACAGGTCTTTACACTCCCACTGTGTGTCCTTCCCTCCTCTTTTGGTCCCTCCTCCGTGTCTCTAGGCACGCCAACTAAAAAAAAAAAAAAAAGTTCAGGGAAAACAGTGATAAGCAGCAAGCAGCTTCTGGGTTTTGCTTACAAGAGGACTCCCGCTGAATCGGTGTGAGAGAATGTTTGCATAGAACTCTATTTTCCTGCCACTGTAGCAAAACAGTGCAGCAACGTCGGCTCGGAACGACAAAGCTGTAACACAGGACAGCCACAGGAGGGGAGACTCACTGACAGAAGCAGGCAGAGTGCGCGGCGACTTCTCAGCCTGACGCTGTAGCCTCACTGGCCCAGGCGTGGGGACAGGATGACACACTAGACTGTCCCTGAACTTCTTCCACTTTGTCCTCACATCAGTCTCTGTCATTCCTGCACCTGCTCCCTTTTCCTCACTCACCTGCCCACGAAGATGTCAGATGAAGACTGCCGCTCGCCCATAGGCCTGGACTGCTGCAGCTGCTGCCTGGACCTGGCCAACGGGTGCGATGAATCCCTGTCCAGCAGTCCGACTCGAAGCCATGGCACAGCAGGGGCCCTGCCACCAAGCCCCACCAGCCCCAGTGTGAACCACTTCCGCCAGCTCCGCAGCCAGCTGATGTACCAGAACCTGAACACAGACAAGCTGAACAACATCATGAGGCAGGACTCCCTGGAGTCGGTGGTGAGGGACCCCTGCTTTCTCCTCAATGAGGGCATCTGCAGCAGCAACATTGACCAGACTATGTTGTCCATTCTACTCTTCTTTCACAGGTACGTTTAATCTTCTGCTCTGATTAAAACACACTTAATAAGTCAGTGACTGAAAATGATTCTTTATGGTTCCTAAAGAATATTCATGAAGAAGTTTGCCTCATCACCTGTGGAAGTGTGCATAAAATCATCAGCGAAAACTAAGCTAAAATGTATTTTTAAAGTTCTGATTTTATTGAAAACAGTTATATGACATCAAAAACAGCTATGCAAAAAGATTCCACTTTTAAACTAAATCATTTCATTATGCTTGCAGACCTTCTCAAATTCTTGCATGTACATGTGCAATCAAACCTGTGCAACTCTGACAAATCTGGGATTTTACTCTGTGATCCGTGATTTTATTTTTGAACTTCCTGATTTTACATGCAATGACTATTGTTTGCATTACCTCAAAAATAAATCAATTTGTTGGACCAATCGGGGGGGGGGGGGGGTGAAGAAAAGTAAAGTTCATTGTGAGAAACTAATTTCTTCCCATAACCTTATTAAAATAATTCTTTTATGGTTTGACACTTTCAGTCGAAAGTGTCTCATCTCTTTCTTAGGTCTTTTTTTTTAAACACATTGTTTTAAACCTCATAATTGAATTTTTGAGAAGGACGAGAACTTATTAAGTCACAGCGATTTAAAGTTTGATTTGCAATGTAGCTTCAGTTTTTTTCTAACGAGCTGCAGTTTTCAGTGTTGTTTAATTTCCTGGGTTAAAGTCGGGCCGATGTCATTTCAGAGAGGAAAATCAATACATATGCTGGAAAATAAAAGCCCATTTAACAACGTTCGTACACAGCATGCGAAACACACAAACATCTGGGTCGATTCTTGACCAATGAAAGATATATTTTTATTGATTTAATTTTACAGGTAGTCTTGAGGACATTCTTGGTGTTTATCTCAGCTTTTGTTTTCGCATTGTAAATACTTGCGTTCACATAATCTTGTATTTTCTTTAACATTTACCGTCACTATTTCATTGTTATCAGATAATTTATTATTGTTATCATTGCTGTTCCTCAGTTATTACATATAATTATCAGAACAATAAAATATAAATACATTATTTGTATTTGTGTGAAAATACAAAAGCTAAATAAAAGATCATAATTGTAAATCCACTGCCGTCTTTTCACCATATGAAGAAGTCAAACAAACCCCATTTTGTATGTACTGACTATTTGGATAAAAAAAAAAAAAAAAAAATCTATAAAATTGTTTATTTTTATTAAACTTTTTGGCTTCAATTTGGAAAATGAAGTTGCTGTTAAATTTTTGAGTTGTTTAGAGGCATTACCATATCAATTATGTTCTCTGGATAAGAGCTACAATGATGTAGATTATCCATACTAGCTAAACTTTAACCAGCCTTTGCTTTCCTGTACTGTATGACTGCTCTAATCTCTTTGGCTCATGATATATTTTGCATGAGTACAGACCATGCAGAGGACTTAAAGCCATTTATTGCAATCTTCACCTGATTGGGCTGCACAAGTATTGCTATTACTGTTTCTTTTGAAGTCCTGCTGATGGAGTCAATAGTGATAATTATAGTTATTCTTGAGCACAGCCTGGATAATGTTTGTATTTGCATGAAAACACCATAGTTGCAGCAGTCAGAAAATCTTCCAATATAAATGAAACAACACTTACAGGAAGTTTCTGGGAGGACTTATTGGCGTGATTGTTGTTTGAGGCAAAGCCAAAAAGTCCAGATTGGTACCAGGATTTGTGATTCGACAGAAATGAACCAAACAATATTAATCATTCATCTAGAGGCGACTACAGGTGACAGCAATGGCGGCGGGCCGCTTTTGTCTCATTTTCAGTCTCAAAAGTGCCATCATGTGACAAACCTGAAGAGTTGTGAACACATATCGTAGAATGACTGATCATGAGACTTCATGTTTACGAAAAGAGCCAAATAACAGTCAAAACACAAAGGAGTGAAAACTTCCATAACAGCAGCACAGTGTGTCAAAGACCTCATAAAAACCTCCTCATGAACTCTCTGTACAGGAATTTGCTCCCTTCACACAGCACTTACAAACGGTAGGACAAATGTCTGTAACAAACAAATTACGCAACGCAAAAGTATGAAGAATTTCATGTTCCTGTCTGAAACTTAATGGCTTTAAGGAGTAAAAGTCTCAGCTATGTGTGAGAATGTTTGGTAGTGATGGGTTTGAAATAATAATGAGCTGTAAAAACAACGCAGGCAAACGTTGCATAATTCACGTACGGATGAGATTTAACCTTAATCCCCCAGATCTTGGCCTGCAGACTTAATTTTCCAGCTCCATTGGGAAAATTGTGATAAACGGCTAATAATTCTTTAAGAGAGCATTGGAAATTACAGACACTGACACTCTTTAAAATTGCGCAGAAAACAGCGGCCGTGGGACAGAGACAGTCACTTTCCTTAGTTTCTGTTTTGTTTACAGCAAAATCAAAACCTTATTGTACGGAAAACTGTTGGCCAGTTTATCTCGAGTTTATTGCTGGGTGTGGTCAGGAAACATCATGACCTGACCATCTCACAGAGGGGCAAAGACATGATCAGGCTTTGCCATAATCTCTTTCACAAAGTCTTGGTTCAAATACTGTACAGACTGCATAAAAGTCTTAACGTGAAGATCTATATTTGTTCATCTTTAATGCTGCCTGCATTCCTGTCCACATTTCTTGACAGTTGGTGTAAAAAAGTTAAAACACTCATCTTTTTATGCTGTAGCACAGTCTCAGATGAATAAATAAATTAAAATCCAGCCTTTAATTTGAGGACATTTTGTTCTGTGTTTAAGAAACACAAAGAGATTATTGTTTAAAATTAAAATCGGCGGCCTCACAATTAGTGGCAACTGTATACTACAAAAATAAACACGACAAAAGCATTTATAAATATATATATATATATATATATATATATATATATATATATATATATATATATATATCACTGAAGCCCTTACAAATAGAGAAAAAAGTAACACAGACACTCATTTCTCCTAGCATCTATTCAAAATTGGAAATAAAAGAGAACATGCCGTTCCGATCAGGGAGGTGTGTGTTGATCTTCTCCAATATAAGAATACGACTGCAAGGAGCGCTTACTTGCTTAAACTTGCCCATTTCTATAGTTGAGGAAATAATTAAAGAGCTTAAAACAACTGGAACAACTGTAATAAGCAAGCCTGGATGAGAACATGAGCCAATCTCGCCACCATGCATGGTGAAGAGGGAGTGAAAAACAATTTCCAGAGCTTAGAGAGAGCAAAACTTTCTGAGAGAGATTGTGCTGTTTTCAGTAAATATTCCTTTATTGCAAGGTTTTCTAATACATCTTTATCAGGTGTGCAAATAAAGAAGGAGGCAAATAATTCATATCAGTTCACTTGGAAAAAATCTGTGGCATTCTGGAATTACAGTGCATCTAATCTCTGGTGAAATTTCAATAAAGTCTTCCATCAACAAGACTTCCTTATTGCTTTTATATCACCATAAATATGCAGGAGACACTGTAAATTCCTTCTTAATCCAAGGTGTGCCCTGATAGTGACCAATTTGGTTAATTTATAAACAAGTCACACCTGAAAATGTGCCTCTTATCAGTGAAACTTGACTTGACTACAGTTCCTTAGCATTAAAGAGAAATGATTTACATGAATGGTGAAGCAGACAAATGGAAAACTGTGCTCAGCTTCACCCATGCTTTTGTGCAGTGTGGCTGCTTTACCATTCTTTGAGATTAGTTTCTGTATTAACATCTCAGAATGAAACACCATCTCTTAAGTGCCTTCCCATGCAGATCATATTAATATGGAACTACTCAAAACAGTCTGGAGTTCACTTTCCAAATCCTTACCATTTAATGCAAAATGTATTTTCTGACACACGGGCTAACAAACCAAATGGATTGCGTGCTGAAACAAGCCCAGAGATCAGAACAAAATCATTGCGCCGCCTATAACATTAAAAAAAAAAAAAGAAAAAAGAAAAAATCAAATCCCTTTTCCAATGTTACGAATACATACTTGTGCAAGAACGACGGAATCTGAAATCCTGCAAAGACACGGCACAATACACGATCTGGAAGGAGAAATGCTGTTCCCAGAACTGTTATTAACCATCCCTGCACTGCCCACATTAGAGGCAAAACATCATCATAAGCCATAAAAGTTTCCTAATTAAGTATCTTGATCTGTGCTTTCTTATGAAAAGCAAACCACAAAGACAATTTATTACTCATAAAGCAAAGATGAAAGGTGTGTTTCACAAAAGTCTAAATAAAAAAACTATAATGATTAGTAGGTGGATGCATAAAAGGGTCCAAATACTTATGAATTACTAAATCAAATTGGATTTATATTGTCTATTACTCATTTCTTTGTGATATAAGCGATAATAATACACCAAATAACAGAAATACAACTATAAAATAGATTCAGTTAGTAATTTTTTTTTTCTTTTTTCTTTTTTAGTTTTCCTTTGCATTATTATCTGAGTTAAGTAACACTGGTGAATGTATCAAAATCCAGGTTGTTTCCATGTAAGTAAACATGTATAATATAGGTAAATAACGATTACTGACCAAAAAAAGCAATATTATTATAGGATAACAATTGTGGCCCAAATTATCATATTGATCATATTGATCCTAATTATCTTATGTAAACATTTTCTTAAAAAAAATGTTCTTGAAGAATTATATATTTATATTCTTTTGAGAAAATATTAAATTTCATACAAAATTATGTATATTTTGTATGAAATATACATAATTTTGTATATCAGTAGACCCATGAAATGGCAGAAATTCCCTAAATGCATACAATCCCATTATTGATTTAAATAGTAATAAGAAAAACATGTAAAATAATACCTGAGGTATTTTAACCTCACAACATGTGCGACTGTGCATAAATTCTGCTCCTTTTGAATTGACATAACTGCATCCGTTTCATTTCAGTTGCTCACATAGCCTCATTTTTTAACTCTCACCCCCTTAAATTCATCTAGTGATGTAAAGTGCAGATGTTTGATGGGCTTTTTTTTCGACAGACTGTGAAATGTCTCTATCCCCCAGGATATAGAAGAAAAAAAATATGCTCTTTTCCTGGTCCTGCATGGCACACAGCTAGTTTCATTTTGTGCATTGGGTATTGGCTGAGAATAAAAGGCACCTTCACCCAATAAAAAGCAGATTTAGTCACACTCTGGGCGGAGGCATTAAAGCCTAAAATGGAGTCTTTAATGACACCTGGCTTTTGAGTCGACGCCTATAACAAAGTGCAGGCACACTCTGGTCTGTTTCTCTTTTTATTATGCTTTATTTTTTTTATTTTTTTTGTGCTTGTTGAAGAAAAGTCTGAGCTGTTGGAGCATCCGTGTTTGAAACACAGTTGCAGAGGGCAATAAGGCCAAAAATGTCAGGGGGAATGTAATAGATTCATGGCTCTGACAAATAAAGGCCATGAGAAGCAAAGCCAGAATGGAGAGTTAAAGCTTCAGTAAGAGTCAGGCTGTCAGACAGGAGGCTGGAAAGAAGACAAAACATAGTCCGGACTAACTAAAAATAGGGTGCTGTTGATAGTGAGCTGAGGTAAGATATAGGCAGAGTGCTGATGTTTGTGGTATAAATCAAACAGAGTGCCAAAGAGAGAGGAAGTCTTCATGAAAAGTTTTTTTTTTTCTTCTTCTCGCTTTCCAGAGTTTCCTCTACAATAACAAGAGGTGGTCAGGGATCACTGTCCAGCATAAAAGACTACTTTAACAATTTAGCATGGATTTGTTTGCCTTTGAAACACATACTGGACCACTTTGTTCACTGGAGGACCTGGTTAAAAATGAATGCACAATAATTACTTTTTAATTGGGCTTTTATTGCCTTGTTGTGCTGTGACTTTGTGAATAGCATGGGAATGTTCTTGGTGCATTGCCAGACGATTCTTGGAACCACCTTCACATAGTTGGTGTTCCAGTTTATAACTGCGTCAGACTGTTAAGGGCCTCAGACACCATGCGATCCGGCCTACTGTCTGTAAGAAAATGGTTGTTAGACCAAAGACAAAACATGAAGAAAGCATACATTTTACTTCCTAAACCTGCACAAACACAGACAATGGAAGCCATCATTATGATCCTGCTGTGCAGACAGAAATGAATGAATGTGTGTGTGTGTGTGTGTCAACGTATAAAATGTACAGACACACCCTGAACCACAAGCTCATGCAATCTGGGCTGTAAAACTCTTTCTTAAACGACACTGCTGCCACTTTGTGCTCAGTTGCTCTTAGCAACATTACAAATATTACATATATCACAGAGAGCTATTCCTTTTCTCCATGAACTTTGTTTAGATTATTTGTCTCAATATCACTAAACGCATTTTTCGTCTGCACAGACATTATAATAGTATGGTGTAATTGCAGACTCACTACATTATTGTCACCTAAGGAGTGCAGGTTATTCAGTCAATAGGTGCATGGAAACACCACAAAAATTGCAGAATTCTATATAAGATTTTCTTAAATGAGTTATGGCAATAACTTTTCACCTATGTTTTAACAGAATCGTATATTATCTCAAATGTTTGAATTTATTCCAGTTCATTTTGGCTCAGATCCCCATTTGCACCAGCTGACTCTTGACAGATTAGGACCCCTAATCAAACCAAAATAAGTTTGAGCAAAAAATGCATGATGAATCTCCAAGCTCTACGTTAGACTGTCATGAGAATACAATATAAGCACTGTGAAAAAAAACATATAGGTTAAATTTGTGGAATGCAAAAACATAAGTATGCATTTTCAAATGAAAGACAAGACTTGGACAAGGTTCATTAGATGAAAAAAAAAATGCTTCTTTTTAATGAAATAAAAATCTGTTTGTGTATCCTCTCTGCATGAAACAGCACAGAGAATACACAAACCAAATTAATATGGCAGATTTTCTGCATGAGGCATTTTAAAAGGCACAGGAACACTCCTGAATACTCCGTCATACAGAGGTGACCCAAAGCATTATTAGCACAGCACAACAACAGAATCCATCTAAGCTCTTTTGTCCCGAGTGTAGATACTGTATGTACCAGAGGAGGATTAGAAATCTACGAGTGACACACGTTAGTCATTGAAGTCACATCCTCAAGATCAGATTGTGCAGAGAAGCAATTAAGAATTATGACAAGGAGCTGATCATGAGCTCGTTCCAAAATGATCTGGTCAGCTCCCCTGGCCTGAGCAGACACAACTAACCAAGCCCAAACATAAAGGGAGGCATTAAGGAGAACAAGATATCAGATTGCAGGACAAAGGAAATTAGGCTACGAGTATGTCAAAAATGCGACATTGTTTCTGAGCACTCAGTCTGACTCGCTGGTATTTTTGCTTTGTTATCTGAGGAGCAGGATTCCCCTGGGGCTCCCAAAAGTATGTTTTCTGCACACGGCTAATGCTATAAAGGTTCACAAAACTTCCCCTACTTCACAAAATACTAGTTTTTACTTGAAATAAGAATTTGTGTGCTGCATGTTGGCATGGAAAGATGCATGTGTGCAGGATATCTTAGTCCACCTTTGCCTAAAGTGTAAAAATAATTATTGCTTGGTTAACCCCACCCCCACATATTTTCACCTCTTTTCTTGACAATGACAAAGAAATAAGTGTGTTAAAATATATGTATCTGTTTTTCATAGTATTTGTCTAATTTTGAGCAAGATTTAAGACTCTTTGACTTGCTATTTTATACTGCCATTGATAAAATGGCCACAGGATGATGTAAGAAGAAAAAAAAACATGACAGGCAATTTCAATTGTTATGAAACAGCTTTTTGTAATTTATGCTGGAAATTCTCATGAGTTACTGGACTGATTGTGTAAAAGAAACCCCAAGAACATTCTCCTCATACTGCTTGCGATAGAATGTTGTTGTAAAACATAACAAATGTCCAGAACCTAAAGAGAACATGGTGATTTTACAAGTGCACCCTCTGAAACTATATATTTGTGGTTTAAAAAAATGATGTGAGGAAATCCTTCTGGATCCTGCGCTCATTATTGCCACATTGCCTTTTCTCTCTCCTTGAGTTTTGCTCTACTCCACATCTCTCGGAGTTCCAGTTGGCAGTTTCTGGGATTATGCAAGTGTGCAGAGAGGAGGTGGTGATGTGGTGGGGTGGAGCAGCTGTGACCGGTGCTCCCTGTCTTATCTTTCTGGACCATGGCTATGGTGCCTAATTAGATAATAAGAGAGCCTGTCAACACACTCTCCTTTGCATGCAGCCTAACTCAAATAGTCAGTGTAGTCATCCTGCCTCTATTTATATAGATGTTTTACTGTATTTAGTTTGGAAAGTGATAAGGCACAAGGGATGGCCTCTAAGATTGTGCAAAAAATATTCACACCACATGAGTCTTTGCACATTTTGCCACATTGCAACCACAAACGTCACCAAAGTAGCACATTATTGTGAAGCAGAAAGATAAAAGATTTTTTTTTTTTTTTTAATCCAGATTTAGATTTAAAAATCTAACAAGTGTTCCATTCCACCTTGTCTATAGCTATGTGTTTAGGGTCATTTTCCTGCTGGAACATTTTGTATGTGAGCCAAAATGTTTAATTTTGGCCTCTTCTGAGCAGAGCACCTACTTCCACATGCTTTCCGTGTCCTACATGCTTGTAACATTTTTCCTTCAAAAATGGCTTTGTCTACAAAGCCATTTCTTTAGTCAAGGACAGCTTTGTGTAATGCATGACTAATAGGTGACTAATCAAGAAATTCTGCTTCATGTTCTTTTTGCAAAGCCTGCCGGTGTTGGTGGACAGCCGTGTCTGGTGTGTTCCTTTGTCTCCATCACTGAGAATAAATTAAGCATCTTGTTGGACTGAATTTTTCTGCTGGGGTTTCAGATTAAATACTTAGCATAGTTTTCAGATTGTTTGAGAAAAAAACAAAAAAAAAAAAAAAACAACATAAATAAATAAATGAATAAAACCCTCTAAGATTTTAAAAATGATACATAATTTTTCCATGTAACAAACTATTTTGTGCTGTTTGGATACAAAATCCTGACTAAAATGCTTTCAAGTTTGAGTTTTTAATACGACAAAGCATGTTGCTACATGATGTCTCGATAGTAGCCGTAGTGGATGCAGGACTCTGAAATGTTCACCGTGTTCTGCTTTCATCAACAGGAGTATCCCACTTGTTTTCTGACTTTGTGTTAGTTGTGATGTTGTGACCTTCCTGGCTACTATTTGCTAACTTAAAGAGAAGGTGAAATGTAGAAAGAGTGGAAACAAATGGGTACTGATAAGCATTGAACACTTCAGCAGGTATATAAGTTGTATGTTGCTTGAAAAGCTAAAACTCTTTGTGCACCTAGTTAACATAAGTATGCATAGGAAACATAGGACATAGGAAATATTTTCCAACAAAAATGTGTTTCAAAATCCTTAGGCAATTATACCTTTTTGTTGTTAAAAGACTGGCATCCTCAGACTTTATTTGAAATGAATTCTGATGTTGCTCCATCTGTTTTTCTTTCTGCTGGACGCCTGTTTCATAATCCCAAGTGTTTTCATCTCACACTGCATCACTTTCTTTTTTGTTGAACCACAGTAGCCAGCTCCACACAATGCACCCAGACGGTGCTTTTGTGGACCAGGTCTGAGCCAGGACTATCATTAGCCTATCTTATTCTCCCTGGGTTTTATTCACATGCAGGTTTGGGTACACGATGTACTCTCAGTGTGCACGTGCACAGACACAAAGGGAGAGAGCGAGGGAGAGAGAGAGAGAGAGAGAGAGAGAGAGAGAGAGAGAGAGAGAGAGAGAGGTGCAAAGCAAATACAGAAGAACTGTGGCTATGTTTAGATTAACTACATGAAAGACCACAAAAACGTGTGCAGCTTCATTAACAAAAAGATAATAATGGCTCAGAGGAACAAACATCAACCTGGAGGATGTCCTTGTAACTAGCAACAAGATATACTAAGACAATATTGACCCAGCATATAAGTAAACTTTGCAGCTTCTCAGGGCTTCATGCTGGCCTTGGAACTACAAAGAAAACTTCAACTCACACAAGACCAATTCACAATTTAACTGATAGTGTAGATCCTGAGAAAAACCTTTGTAAGTTTAAATTCACGTGCGCATAGTCATAACTTGAAACCAGGCTAATAATTTATGCTGCTTGAATCTGAGCTAAGAAACAACTTCATGTACACAATAGCTGGTTACAAATAAATCAGAAAGTTATAGTCCTATGCTCCTGTTTTCATTCTTATCTAGAATAAGCACAAGTTTCTGTCATGCATTAACCTAATAAAAAAAAACAAAAAAAACATTTAACATCCAGATGAGCTGAAAATGATTCATGTCACCATCAGTATTTAGATTTAGGACTTAAAATCCTTCTTATAACTTCAGACAAGCTTTCCAAGAGTGCTAATTCATAGAAAAATGTCATGTTTTGCTGATAGTCAAGTAAAACACAATACGGTAAAATGCTGCCAAAGCACTTGCATTAATACAAAAAGCACAATTAACCATGGACAATTTAAAAGGGGCAAAAGTCAGTAGAGCTGAACTGACTGGTGGGCTCAATTCACCCTCCAAATTAAATTCCTCCTGAGGCTTCCTATAACATCGGGGCGTCTCTGCAGACGCCACACCTCTTAGCATTTCTTAGCTAAAAGAACAACTTCTCAGAGCTTCAGCAGGTCTTGGATCTTTTATCAGGACTCAAAGGTTGCCACACCAGACCCCAAACCAACGTTCTGCTTTTAAAGTTACAGGACGCCTGCAGTTTACCAGCACTGATGAAATGTCTGTGTTAGTAAACAGCTTTAGGTTCTTGGGGTGGAGGGGCAATTTAGGGAGACCTGACTTTCCTAAACAAGGCTCCTCCTGTTGTGCAATGCCTAAAACGGTAATGAGTTTGGTAATAAGAGGGGGAACATAATTTTGGGCAAGCAGCCCATCTTGAATTGATTTATGCATCACAAAGTTAAATGGGTACAAGCGTTCTTTGTGGAATAAACAGTTACGCACAGTGGATGTTTTGAAAGTGGAGGTAAACATGATTTATGTTGAAGCGTCTCACATGTGACGTGTGGCTCCAACAGCACCCTTCATTAAACTGAAAAAGCTTCATTAAACTGATGGATCGAGGAAAAAAAAAAAGGTAAACAAGCTGAGCACCTCACCCAGGTGTGAAGCTGGGAAACTGGAGAACATGTTGGGCAACCTGCACGCTCTGTGGTGCAATGGGTTTGTTTCATAAAGCCGACAATAAATTATGGTTTTTATTATTCAAGAAAGCTCATTTCCCAGTTAAAATACACTGGAACTTGGCAGACGCTGAATACAATTTAGCTGGCATTGTGAGTTAAGGTTAGAGTATTCATGTCCTGCGTTAAAACTGGCTCACAGATCTCCATGAACCATCAAACTCTGGGTTTGATGAGTAGAGTTTCCTGTTTTGCGGCAGCAGTTCCAAATTTCCAAGATTTGTTGCACATGCACTGGGTTTCTGCACTCCTGGAAAGGCCACTGGCAAAGAAAGAAAAGAGAGCAACTAAAATAAAAATTGAAGGGGAGTCTGGGCAGCGCGAAGATGAGAAAATATTTGTCGACAGGTAGGCCTGTTCAGTCTGGCTCTGCTTTACTCTTTCTGGGAGTTTTTTTTTTCTTTTTTTCTGGGAAACAATATGTTGTGAAGGAAAATCTGAACATATTGGCGATGTTTCAGATAGCCTGTGATTGTTTCTGGCTGTTTGACAGAGAAAGAGATGAGACTGAAAGAGAGTGGGAGGCACCAGCCAAGTCAAATGAGCGAAAATAACAAGATGCATCCTGTCCGTGACCTCACTTCTGTCTGCTTTGCTCCCCACCAAGGAGCGGTTTAGACTGGTTGGATCTGACAAGACTCTCTCTCTCTCTCTCTCTCCGTCCCTTTGTACCATCCCACCACCATCAGGGACAATTAACACCAGCGACATTAAATGTCCTCCTTCTGCATTCTTTCCAGTATGGTGTCATGGAAATGAATGACTCAGGGATTCATCGTTATGTTTGCACGCTTTGTTGTGTCCACAATCTGGGATTAAGCGAAACAGTAGTCCTGCACAAAGCATGTCGGTGTTTCTGGAACAAAACACAGTCAAATGCAGCCAGGCTGATGAGAAGAAGGGAAAGATGACTATTTTTCTCTTACTTAATACTATTTTCTTTCCTCATATGTACCCAGATTCCATCTAGGTTGCCACCCACATCCCTGACACAAGTCTTTCAGGGGCCTACAATGCACACAAAGACCTATTTATTGCCAGCCTGAATGTAAGGTGACACATAACGGGAAGCCTCGGAAGGAAAGAGAGTCAGAGAGTGAGAGAGAGAGAGGGAGAGAGAGTCGTTTACGTAACAGTTAAGGTTGCAACCTTTCAGTATTCGTTGAAGTTAGTTGGGGTCAAGTGGTTTTCATGTGTCAGTGGGAGGATCTTTTGTTGTGGGAGTGCCTGAGCAAAACAGGAAGACCAGCATCTACGCCCTTTCTTCACCGAAACTTTGCAATCACAGCTGGACGTATATCACAAGTCAACTGTAACATGTCAGAGGAGCAATAACACAAATGAAAAAAAGAAAAAAAAAAAAAAAGGTTCCATGTAGCCAGCAGTACATATTCGATTTTTCAGTAATTTTCCACAAGTGCTAAATTCTCCCACGTTTACGGGAGTCCAGCAGGAAATAATCATCTGCTGCAGGAGTCGTTCCCTCTTTGCCTTGCATCGCCTATTTACATGTCAGTTCCACACACTTGCTTCATCTGACCTTTAAGTGCAAACTGATCCATCATCCTTAGGCTTGTTTAACTTTCATCTGAGCAATACTTCTTCTGCAGGCTGCTCTCGTATGCCAGGTCGTGGCGTGGGAGGGAATAGTGCACATACTGAAGAGGAGCTTACTAAGCTCTGCTTTTTTGTGTTGAATGTTTGCAAAAAGTCTGAAATGTTCAGTCAAAGTGCAGAGAAAAAACATGTTGTTACGCTTTAAGCACTTTGAATACCAGGTGTGTTGTTGTGCTGCACAAAGCTCAAGATGGCAAAAATATCCTGAAGAAGGGGCTTTAGTAATAAAGAAAGCAAGTACTGCTGCATATATGCAGTACCTTGCAAACGTTGTAATACGCCTTTGACTTTTTCCACACATCATCTCTGTACCAGCTGCATAGATGCGTAGCTCTGGTGGACGGATCTGTTGACAGGAAAACACTCCATAAATGTGGCCTTCACTGACCAGTGATTTAGGAAGTCACATCAAATAAACTCTAAAAACATCACCTCTACGCTAAAACATGGTGGTGGCAGCATGCCTTCCTAGGATGTTGCCGTAGGAAGGCAGCAAGCAATAGTGGTTACTGGTGTGGCCTTGGTGGCTCTCTGCCCAGGGCAGTACTGGACAGAACAGGGTTGTCAAATAAGAAAAGAAAAAAGTACTTTATCAGTTATACCCTTAGCAAGTTTTCTATTGCTTACAGGCATGTGCAGCAGGACAAAGTGGAGTTGGCACAAAGCTGACTGAGGATGCAGAAGACAGTATGTGGTGGCCATTTATGTAATGTTTGCAACTTGTAATTTCTACTAATTTAGTTTTCTATTTTGGGAAGTTTAGAATTTATTTAAGTTAAGTTTAGATCCAAAATCTGTAGTTAATTTGTATATTTGAATTGATTAGATTATGTTGGTAATTGGTTAGACCCTCCCATTAATTTGAGTAATTAAAACACACCGGGTGCTGGGTGGAGCGATTGTTTGGCAGATGTTTGGTGTGTGGATGGGAGGTTTTTTGTAAATGATCTTTTGACCACTTTCACTTTTCACTTTTTTGTACTTGAAACGTCATATTAAGTTTACTTTCGTTTTTTGACTAAGTTGTAGGACATTTTTGGTAATTATTTTGTCGTTATTTTTTACAAGAAATAAAGAATAATTTTTTTTTAAACAAATTAAGTCGGAAGTGCGTTCAAATCAAAAACCGCCTGTTAACACCCACGGCCTTTGTTGGAATATTGTTTTTTGGAAACGAGAAGGCCGCGACACAGTATATGACTGACGTTTCTCCGTCAGGACTCGGAGTGTAACTTAACAGATTCTTAAAGACTCTGGTCTGAGCTTCACAATCAGTAGTTCAAACTGTGAATACACGTTCACAGAACGTCATCTCCATTTAGCATTAAGGTCGCCTCTGACTGAGACGAGCAAGTAAACACTATAAACACGGGACAAACCTGGACTGAATTATTTAAGACTGATCGCAGATTGTTTTATAAGGCGCAAAGGCAGCGGCTGGCCTCAGGCAGCAAACATGCAGGAATCGCTAAGGAATATTGACTCGGGGTGCTTTAGACAAGCGCCGTCCACACTTTGGCTTTAATGTGACAAAATGTTGACACTTTTTGTTTTCAATTTCAAAGATTGGCCTGACCCTTACTTTCAATGTTCTGACCCTTACTTTCAATGTTCTGATTGTTTTTTTTATGCTGATACTAAAGTTGATATCAACAAGGTGTAGTCTTTTTGTTGATGAACTGATGTTAAGAGAAAAAGTGGGCAAACCAAAAACAAACAAACAACAAAAAAAAAAACTCTCACCGGTTCAGCAATCACTCTATGAGTGATGAGGATTGTCTTGGATTAGGACGACCCGTGGTTAATGTTCTGACTCTCCAACCGTGAATGATGTGTAGATGTGCTGTAATGGCAGAGTGCTCCCAAGGCTGTCCTGTTCTCACCAGAGGTTACACAACAAACACACCGAAAAACTGTGTGACTGTGTTGGCAAAACAACCCTTCAATAGCTTTGTTCATTATATTGCCCATTGAGTAGCCAGCTTGAATGAAAGTGTTGTTATTTGAACCACGTTTTTTTTTTTTTTTTTTTTTTTTACAGGGGTTTTTTGGGTTTTCTTCTGTTTTTGTTCTCAGACTTTCTTTCTGGTGGTTCAGAGAGAAAGGAAGTTACTGTAGCTCATATCAATGGGAAGAGAGTATTTTTTTTCTGTGCTTTTCTGCCAGTTAGGAAGCATAAAAAGAAAAGTGAAGCTGTGAGCTTAGCAAGATACTTCCACCTATTCAAATTTAAATGTTTCGCAAAGGAGGAGATATCAGGTTTAGACAAAGGCTTTCTTGTGCTGTGAGTGTTGTTTGCACCTGGAAAGCTTCCCTGAGCACCTCTTAGGATGCAATTCGATTTCGGGGAGCTTTTCCTCTCCTTCTTGCACAGACGTATTCTTCCTGCGAAACATTTTATTGAAGCAGATTGAGACTAATAGCTGGTCAAATTAGACACTCAGCTTGGAGTGAGCATTTAAGATGCTGCTGGTGGCAGAACCACGTGTGCTGTTGGGATGTTTTCTTTCTTTTCCTTCAGGGGGTAAGGAAGCTAGTCAAAGTTGATGGGAAAATTGATGCAGCCAACTACAGGGCAGTACTGGAAGAAAACCTGCAGGCTGCTGGAGGATATTTTGGCAGCGGTTCACCCCCTAGCAGGTCAGAGTGGGGCTCTGCTATTTTACAAAGAAGAATAGGTTACAATTTTAATTTTAATTATGTGTAAAGTTAGTATAAACACACCACAGAAGAATTACAACTGTAATGCAGCAACAGGTGGTTCTGTAATGTATTGACTAAAGGGGCTGAACAAAAGTGCACTTCTAAGATTATTAACAAAAACCTTTGAAGACAAAAACTTTTTAGTTTAGTGTATATTTTTTCTTAGACTTAAAATCGGAATAAATTACAATGATGTGGTCAGTGGTAATTCACCACATTCTGGGGAGTGTGAATATTTTTGTAAGGCACTTTAATCTTATATGCCAGCGCTGCAGAATCTTGGTAATTGTCGCCAGTTTGTTTCCCCGGCGGCCACTTCTGGGAATCGATGCGTGTTTCACTCATTGTCCATGATCGTAATTGTCTTGGGAATAGAATGGCGTAATTGTGCAAACCGTTGGCCTCCGGTGATAGTCTAAAACAGGCTGTGACACCTGTTTCCACAGACACATTGAGACATCCAGTGGGACAGATTAAAGACTTAGATTCTTCTTATCATCTTGATCCCAGGATAAGAGGCTAGCGTGTTTTGCAGATGTCTGCAAAACTTATTCTACAGCATCATGTTGAGCATGTGCAACAATGCCTGCTTGGTACACATGCAACATAGATGTCATAAAGTAAAAGATTTTTCCACCTTTAGATCAAGATCAACTAATAGGGTGGGATGTTACAAAATTATGCACCTGCAGACGTTTTCCTCCTGACAAGAAAAAGTGCCTAGATTCTTTAGTTGATTGTGCCAAACTCCATGCAGAAATTCTTTTTTTTATTTTTTTATTTATTTCAAGAGCTTAGCTCATTTAATTTCTATGTTGACAAACTAGCATGACCCCCAGTCACCCTGTTTCCCCTCCCCTTGTACTTTGAGGTAACCATGTTTTTTTTTGGTAGTTTACCTAAAGAACTGGGAGTACAGCCAACGTCTCCTATCAGAGGAAACACCGCCGAACAACAGCTGTGAAGCCCCTTCCTCCCTCCTCCCTCCCCCCTCCTCTTCCTCGTCTTTTCTCTTCCTCATTTTTGCATTTTCCTGTTTTGGTGTTTGGTCATGCTCCGCTCAACCCTCATGATATGAAGCTCTCTGTGAACTGTGCTCCGGTGAAAAGCGATACACTGGTTTGACGTCTGTTGTCTGCCTCATCGTGCCTGTGCTGGACCTGGAACATGACTGGGAATAAAACGAAAATTTAAGAAACGCATATTTCCAGTTGCGTTGTCTCAGAGTTGCATTGTGTTCTTTTAAGCAAAGAGAGTGACGTTGGATGTGAAGAAATGTGCATGTCTTGCAGCATTTCTTTGTAATCAGGGATTGTGGTAAAACAAAACAAAACAAAAAAAAAAGGTCTTTATGTAATTCACTAGTTAACACACACGGACAAATATACATGCAGGTTTGCTTATCTTCGATTGATTATTTTTTTTAATTTACTCTAGTCTGAGCAAAAATCTACATGTTTATTCATGTCTTTGGGGAGGGGGGGGCGTTATTTTTTTTCACTTTCTGACACCAGGGTAGCAGGGCATGACCGGGCAGCCTCGTTGCGTGTTCACCTTTAATCTGGAACACAGCTCCGACATGGTACACTTGCAGAGTAAATACAAATATCTAAGTCCATTGTCCACAAGGCCGACGTTGTTTCACTTGTGTCCCCTCATGCAAGGTCCTAACACTTTCGAGTCTTTCCCATTGCATAACAGCAACACCTGGGCCAAATGTAGGTGGAGTCGTACGGCAGGCGCCAATTAGGTATGTGACGAGACAGGTCAGAGACAGGATAATTATCTAGAGACAAAGTCGGAGGTTAGGCTTTCCTGAAGCACATCACTCAGAGAGGCTTTTATTATGCACAGGGACAATGAGGACAGACAGGAATAATATTAATACCGGCTGTTAAAGAGGGAGTTGAGCTGTGCAGACGGGGAGAACAGAGACAGAGAAGCAGCCAGACAGACCCGACTAAAGAGCTGCATGGCTGAGGCAGCAGGACAAACGGTTGTGCACAAGGTGGCAGGCAAGACACAAAAGTTGCATGGCAAGTCAAAAGCAGCACACTTTAAAATTGATTTAAAAATGTTTGGAATTAAATGATATTTAAAACATCAAGCGCTTCACACTCCTAGTAATCTGCAAAGGTTTACTTTGGAAAGGTTGTTGGATGCCTTGAGGCATTTGGTTGTTTTTACACCTTTGTAGCCAGACTTTGAATGCAGTCTAAAAACAACAAAAACCACAAGCATTAAAGACAGCAATCAATCACAGGAAGACAAGAAAACAAAGACGGTGGCCTATAATTTTAATTGTGAATGCACATTTGTGTGTACGTGCAGATTTTGGGAGTTACTAAAGAACCTGTAAAAGGTCTGATTTTGTTTTAGTTCCTCAAACTTTGACACAGTTCCTCAAAATTACTTAACAGACTTTGGTTTACTTTACAGTATGTGAGTGAATCAGTTATAATGACAAATAAGTGGCAGACAGGAAGCAACATGTTTAAAGGGCTCAGTATTATTCTATTTAAAATGTCAATATATCACATAAATACAATCGAAACTGTATCAATATTTTTTAAAATAATCATTTATGAAAAATAGAATTAAAGAACTAACAAATTTAAATCAGCTTACTTAGTTATTATTTAAATATAATTATTTTATGTTTGTGTGATATCTGTGCTGTAGCTTATCACTAAATAATAAATCAGAAATTATCACTTTGCAGATCAAATAGACAAATCCAAAGGAATCATTCTCTCTAACAATGGTAGCGGTGTCCAGTGTTTTTGAAGCTCAAGGCTAACAGATAAGGGTTTGTGATGTAACAAAGGAGAATAATTATTAAAATACCTTTGTGTTTTTACATATGACAAATACAATTTTACTAACTAAATATTTGCTCAATTTAAAAAAAATAACGAATTTCAGGAATACATTTATATAATCATTAATAAATTTATTTTTTGTTCAGTGAATTGTTTTCCAGATTCCTTTAAACGATCTCCAACATAAACATTTATTTAACAATTTAGTGACATGTTTAACAGTGCCACGCTTAGCCTGCATAAGTAGTAATAACTTAGAAAGTTTTATGTATTTTTTTCAGATTTGATAAACTGAAACAGCTTTTGGTTAGTGGACAGAATGATTGATAATGGCTCACAAACAAGCTGGCACATACATTTTTATTGGGTGTAGTAATTCCACATTATATTTAAGAACAACAACCCTGGATGAGCATTCTGGTGTGCAGGACACATTTTATCTAGTGAGTCTCTCTGAGTCATGTTTTCTCTAATTTTATGATTTCTTTCCACATTTCAGGACTTAAAAAAAAAAAAAAAAAATCAACATTTTCTATGCAGTTGCTTTTTTTTTCTTGCAATTTCCTTGCCTTTTTCTGTTGCCGTGATGTGTCAGCTTAAAACAGACACACTGCCACCATGGTGCGAAGCTCATACATCAAAGCAGGATCTTGGTGATTTCAGCGTCAAGATAAAATGACAGCTCCTTGGCTGCCAAATACTGCTTACGTGGGGAAATCTGCGCTTCTTCAAAACAATAAGCGACTCTTGCGCACATTTTCTCACTCAAGTGCCAGATCTGATAAGATGTGTCACGTCAGAAGCAGTTTTCACTGCAACAGAGCTTTTGTCTGCTGGCACATTCGTTTTTGTTATGATTTCTTTTAATTGACCGATGTGAGAGACAAGTCCAGACGCCATTTTGTTTCATTTCCACTTCTGCTACCATTAATTATTATATTACCAAATACATACTTTTAAGATCTTTATTGTGATATATATATATATATATATATATATATATATATATATATATATATATATATATATATATATATATATATATATATATATATATATAAACAACACAGTTTGGGAAGAGCTAAAATGTAGCACAAAGTTAAGTTTAGGTACAAAACAACATGGACAGAGAAAAGGCAGACTGGGGTGTTTGCATTTAAATGTGTGTCTGAACTTCGTCTGAATACATCGCTGATCTTTAATTTGCATTCCCATGTATTCTTTGCACGCACGCATGTCATTGTGTCGTGATGCACTCTTGTACTTTTTGCCTTCATGCATTGTTGGAAATCTTGCTGACATCCATGCCTGAATGCACATCTTCAATTGCACTGGGCTATGACTGATCGGTGTACCTGCACGAAGTGTGCGTGCAGAACAGATAAAAGAATGTTCCCTGGTTTTAAAAGTGAACTTTGCACCCCTTGTGTACACGGTGGAGGTGCTTCAGCCTGAGCCAAAATGACCGTGATAGCAGATTTGTTTACCCTCTGTGTGTGTGGGTGTTAAATAAGCCAAGATGCATCTACAGACAGTTTGTCTTGTGTGTTGTAAGTGATTGTGAGGTCAGCAGCGACTTCAAGTGCCAGAATTTCCTGTTTGTTCAATGGAAAAGACGCTAAAAGAATTCCAAGTAAGAAATTACATAATTTCAGCCCTGAGCTAGTTTTAGTCACTAATTTTGCAGCATTTTCACAGTAAAACAGAAAATTCTTCTTCTCAGATCAGGAGTTTTCCATGAACTTAAACTATAGTCACAGTTCACAATGGACAAACTGGTTCTACCTCTAAGGCTTCCTACAGTAACTGCTAAGTCATATTAGTATTAGAAATGTTAACACATGTGAACAAAAACCTTTGCTTTGTCAGAATGACTCGTAGCTGATTCTGACTTAGGATGCAATTAATACTTGTAAAATGATTCATTCAGTCAGTATGTCAGAGGGTAAAATGTTCAACATCGGGGTTTGATGAGGCAAATCAAAGATAAAGCATGCCAATTAATAATAGATAAATGTAAAAACATTGCATTCACTACTCTGTTCCATTTTTATCATGCAGAAAATGAAAAGAAGAAAATAAACCCCCAGAAATAAAACATTTTTCATTCTCAAATGTAAGACTTTGAGGTGTGCAAGAACTCCGCTCTTTGTTATAACAGGCCATCTTAAACCCAGCACACACTGAACTGTAGAAAAATAAAACAAGACAGTGAAAGCGCCACACTATATCTTGACTGTCACAACTGTCATACGTTTACCATAGGAAATATCAGACGGTTGGATTTTCTTGCTGCAGGTTCAAGTGTTTCTCAGTCTGATCCTGAAATTGTGCAAATACTAAAATGTGCTTCAAGGATTCATGACATCGACGTGTGCAGGATGTTTGGAGCTGTCAGCTCAATATCATATCAGAAAGGAGGAAATGAATTGATTTATCAATGATCGTGATTTACTGACTCCCAGAGATAAATTCTCTGAAATGTGACTTAAACGAGTTTGTTTTACAACACATACTGTTGTCCGTTCATCTACATTCAAATTTCTCTCGAGAGATTTAAGTAGGTAAACAGGATCTGCTCTAAGACCACCTATCAACCATACTGGTTAGTCGCCGGGTAGGCTTTGTTGAGATAAAGTGAATCGTTCAGTCAGAGGAACAAGCAACAAATATTAGATGCTCATCCAACTCTACTTGCCATGTATGTGCAAAATATGCTCTAATCCAGTTTTGATCAAATATTAATGCTATTAAGAGAATAATTATTTCGTTCCCCCATGAAATCAAAAGTAAGTAAATTTATTTGTAGTCATATTCATGTGATTCAGAAACTGTACCTGCCTGGGTGGGCGGCAGCTGGACACACATTCAGTTTGTCTTTTATAGTAGACAGAGCTGCCTCCAGCTTTCCTCTGCTCTAAATCAACATGTTTCCTTTCAAGAGTCTTCACATCTGTCCCTGTTTGTCTCACGCTGTCCCCTGCCGGTGGGGGACTCTCACCATGCAGACAGGCTGTGGAAATATTGCAGTCATCACGTTCTCAGGCTGTGCCTTTTTGTTCGGATCTGATCGGCCCTGCGCTTTTTAATAGTTCAACGGTTTTAATCTTTACTTTTTGCTGAAAGAGAGCGTTTCGAGAGGTGCTGAATAGGCTCGGGTCCCCCTTTGTACTCCCTCACAGCAGCACTATGTTATATCAGGTTCCCTTGTGATAGGAAGCAGAAGTGTCTTTTCATGGTGAACATTTTAAATGCACCTTTATGGCTTGGCTGAATTTACAGATGTTTATGTGTGTGAACCCTGCTTAGCTTTATTTCTTGGGCTTAGTGCTTCGCTTTAAGCTTAAACATAATTAAGTGGTCACCTATCCCAAAGGAAGCATAAAATGGCATAAATAAATGAAATTTAAATTCCATAACTACATATTAAATATGATTTAAATAAAAAAAAATTGTTTCTACTTTGTATTCAAAATAAGAGACAACTGCACAGACTAACAAAAAGACGACTAAATAAATAAAAAAAAGGTTTGTTTTACCTAAACTCCATTGACTCTCACTGAAATGTTTCTGCAAACAGGTGTGTTGCTGAAAGACGTTCATTACTTCAGATAATTAATTAGGAAAGAAGATAAGGTTAGACAAAGTCTGACGAGGTTTGTCAATAAGACACAAGCCACGGTGGCATTTGGAGAAGTGAATTTACAGTGTTGGATGGGATTATTGCAGAAACAACATGAGAGTATTGAATTTGACTTATAATATTTCAAAAATAAGCACCACGTGTGTAAAATAAGGGTATTTGGATTAATACACTAGATTTGCTTTTAATTTTTCTTTCGGTTTTGCACACTCCAAATGTTCATTTCCTAGTTTTTCAGCTTTCTATGATAACATGATATTACCTGATGAGATTGCATCTGACAGCTTTTTAAATGAAAATACTCTCTATACATTCAGTTGATGGATTACGTGCTGACTTGTCATCCTTGTCATAATTTAGAGCTCCAGTTATGTGATCCGAGTTATTGCGGTCTTGTCGGAGATGTATAACACACTTTGAGTTGCTGGCAAAGATCAGTCTGACGTAACATCCTCAGGCTAATATGAAAAACAGTGGGAGAAGCCACGACTAGTCACTGATTCCAGTGAGTTGTCCTACGTATGGTGGAGCTTTTTTATCGCCAGGTGCATGAAACTGATGAAAACCATCAGACAAACAACCTATTACATCCAGTTTTCTCAGTTCATTGTCTTATTGCAGAAATGTGTGACTGTCATCAGAATGACCGCCAGTGACTTAAAATTATCCATGGAAACTTAGTCACGACTCCATCGTCATCTCACAGGTGACAAAGGATTAGCTTCAAGGCTCAGCAGAGGAGCCTGCAGGAGTCTGTGGGAACGACTCAGTGTTTGGATGACACTGACAGTGAGCGTTAGCAGGGTGCCTATCATCCAGTTAAATCCAGATCCTGCTGACAAAGTGGGACGTGCATGAGCAGGCCACGCAGGCATACAAAAGTGCGGCAAGCACCACACATCAGCGTGCACACTGGAAAACAAAAACAGAACTAAGCACATAATCGCACGACAGGGGGCGGCTCATCGAGGGCCTGAGTTGCTCCACTGTTGTTCCAGTTGTTGGTGACTTGGGTCACACAGCTGCAAGCTCAGCCAGAAACAAGACAGAGAAAAAAAAATAAGAGATACGATGGGAAAGAAAACTACACGAGAAAAGATATGTAGAAAAATACACGAAAGAAAGCAAAAAAAAAAAAACAACAACAAAACAAACTTGTTTCAAAAAGAATATGCCATCAAGAGTCTCTTTTTGTTCAAGGATATCTTCATTTGGCAAAATACGAATGCAAAAGATTGTGCATGCCCCAGGATTCTTGTTTTCAGAACAAAACATTGCATCTGCCAACCTACCCAGGTTGCTCATCCTAATTACTCTCTGACACTCAACAGATGACATAATTTGCAGTAAAACACCTGGTGACTAGGAGCATGCAGAATGTATCTGACTGGTTTCCTTCTTAATTAGTTTTTGTGCATCATTCAGCTCGAAAGAGCCATTACTCAAATGATGCAGGCTTAAGTAGCTTAAATAAGATGTAGACACCTTCACACCAACTCTGACAGCTGACTTGCGGTGCACACTTAAATATCCGTGGATATTGCTGGGTAATTCTTTACGATGTGACCTAAAAACACCTGACTTCTGTTGAGATGTATCCTGGTGTCTGCTGTTACAAAGTGCCCAAGCTTTGATACTGATCACAGCGCCATTTGCCACATTTTCTTTTTGCCCCTCCTTTAGTTCCAGCAAAAGGTCCTTTTTTGCTGAAGGCCTAAATTTATGGTACCGTACATGCATTAATGCAGACTTTAATGAAAACTGTTTGTTTATTACGTTTAATTTAGGAGAGACTGTAAATAAACAACTTATACCAACCAGTATATGTTCTTGGATATACGTATTTCAAGTCCATTTCAAGTTCAGACCTGAATTAAGATGAACTACTGAACATAGATAAGGAAATTAACAGAGATGGCCACATGCTGTCCTTCAGTGTGCTTTGAGTGAATATAAGCAAACACTTAAGACAAAAAGTAACTGATGTAAATGACACATCCATCCAAGGCATACATGTCCAGGAGAAGAATAGAAGAATCTCTCTCCTTCTCCCCTCACCTCTTTCTTTCTCCCCCTGGTGGCAAGTCAGGAGTTGTAGTAAGGAGCGTTGCCATGGCGAATGGCGGCCATTGCTCAGTGTTACAAATGTGGGATTTATTTGCAATGTGGACACGGAGTGAAGTGGGTCTGCTCTGCTCTGACTATTGGGGAAGGTATAGTATTGAACGAATGACTGTGTCAGACTGGTTCCATTACCTTCGGAAGCAGGA